TGACAATTCCAGCCCAAGAGAAGGGGGTGTGGCCTAATCCTGCAGCTGCAGAGAGACCTGGATGGGGGCACCAACAACAGACTAGTCAACAGCGATGACATTCTGGAGGGGTACCTGGGTGGCTCAGATGGTTAAGCATCTGCCTTCAGCTCAGGTCATGATCTCCAGATCCTGGGATTGAGCCCCACATCAGGCTCCCAGCTCAGCAGGGAGTCTGCTTCTCCCTCTCTGCCTCTCCCCTTGCTTGTGTGCACTCTCTCTCTCTCTCAAATGAATAAATAAAATCTTAAAAAAAAAAACAGTGATGACATTCTGGAGATCCCTGCTTTAAAGAAATGCATGCAGAGCTGGCTCTGGGTGTAAGAGGATATAGAGACAGACAAATGTGTGACGGTATTATATATAATAGAAATATGCAATAATGCAAATATTTTTTTTCTCTCACACCCCAAACTATCGGCCATCTATAAGAAGTTACTTCTTAAAGAACTTTCCTAGAGTTCATAAGCAAGCATTATATTGGATTATATAGAGACCCAGAGACAACAGACTGCTTAGCAGACAGATACAAAAACGTGTGCCCGATATAATCTGTTCTTTAAATGTTAAAGCATTTCAACAATAAACTAATTTCAACCATGACTTACCATCTTCCCTGATCACAGGGAGCCTTAAAGGATGAATCAAATCAAGTCAACACAAGAACTGCACGGTCCACTTAGAATAATATAAACTCAACAAAACATTTTTAACAAAGGAGCCTGTGCAAGCTGCCTTTCACTATATGAAATTTCAAAGCTATATCTACCACTATTTTTAATGCACAGTATTCTACCTACCAAAAGTACTAGTTTCAAAATGAATTGACCAAAATATCTCAAAGCCTACACCAAGATATTCAAACTCTCAGCCAGATTCATCAGTTTTCTCATACAAGACTACAAATAACCTCTCAAAACTGCGTCATTCACATTTCACCTCTGATTCCTTATCAGAAAGGAATTCCTTATTAGAAAGGTCTTACTAGATGTTTTTCAGAAAAACATCGGTGTGCAAAGGGAGCTTCAGTATTTTACAAGTAGCTTGTTTCCCATCGGAATCTGTGACACATTTTCTACATTAACAGTTGCATCATGACTCATCCAGATCTATAGCCAATTTCCTCAAAGAAGAAATTCATATTAGAAGCTATCCCATGTGAAATGTGCAAAATTATGATCTAGAGTTTACAATCCACTGCCACTACCTGAACCAAAACTATTCCAAAAGCAGCCGTGAAAACAACTGTTTTCCAGATGAATAGCCCCAGATAGGAAGATCAGATGTTTCACAAACCTCTTCTCCACTATGAGTGAGATCAGATCTGTACTATCCAATGGATAGAAGTCACTTTCCCATCAGTTGTAAGGACAATCTCAAAAAAGCTATAAATAGCTAAGTGAAACAATGGGACCAAATCAGTTGAACAATAAATTAAAATATGATCTATAAACTGGCCTTTCCATTTCCCTCCTCACATTTTGAGGATAAACAAAATGCATTTTGGTGTTATATCATTTTCTTTTTTTTTTTTTTTTAAGATTTTATTTATTTGACAGAGAGAGACACAGCGAGAGACGGAACACAAGCAGGGGGAGTGGGAAAGAGAGAGGGAGAAGCAGGCTTCCTGCTTCTGGGATCTTGACCTGAGCCGAAGGCAGACGCTTAACGACTGAGCCACCCAGGCGCCCCGGTGTCATATCATTTTCATTTCCATACTGCAGAGCACGCCTCAAATGGAGTGACCACCTTCCCTCCCAAAACCCTCAAGAGAGAAGCTGGTCAGTTTAACAGGCAGGAACTTAGGCACTCACCTCCCCACTTCTTTAAATGACAGAAACACCCCTCTAGTGTCCAGAAGTGGTAGTCTTAGGATGATACCACTGTCTGTAGTGATAAACGAGGATAACGAAACTACACAAGGTGATCGGTTTCCAAGAAAAGCTCAAAAATGATGTGTCTAGGTGGCCTGCGTAAGTGTGCATGTGTCTATACATATAAATTTCTTTCTCTTTACCTTGTCTCTTCCTCCCCTATGGCATGGAGTTGAAATCAGTGTACTTTTGACTACTTGGGTAAGTGCAAATTCTTTTTTTTTTTTTTTTTTTTTTAAATACAAGGCTAGATACCCCCTCTAGCCAGTAAGGACCATTAAACCATTTCAGTCATTTCAGCCCACAGTTAATAAAGTGTTCAAGGAATTCTGCCTAAGTTTAAAAAATAAGGGGTTTTTTTTACTCAAAAAAAGTACATCCCAGAGTCAAAAAAAAAAAGGTCTGATTTCAGCAATTAGGACAAGACTTAGCTTTATTGAATATATTGGTCAAAACTAAAGAAAAGTAGGTACTCTCAAATTAAACATAACACATTATAAATCAAAACTCTCTGGGCCTTTTCAGTAAGCTGAAAGGACTCAATATTGTTACTTATATTTTTCTAAGTACATAAAATATTAGAATCTGATTTCCTTATATCATTCCATTGACCTTAACTATTACAATACTCCAACTGAACTCTTGAAAACCTCACCTTGTTTAAAGGTGATGAATCAAAGCAACCAAAACTGCAGGGGGCAGTATAAGCATGACTTCCAACATAATTCTTAAGATTTAGGAAAACTCTTCCAGCTAGCCTTAGCCATTAAACTATTCACATATTTCAAAAATTCCACATAAAAGTGAATTATTAAAGATAATTAATTGAAATTCTTCTCCAAATTTAACAATGGGGGTGAGAGGGAGAAGTACACTAAACTCACTCAGGTGTATCTCATGCTCCCATTATCTATATAACATAGTCCAGTCAAAAATAATAGAACAAGTTTGTTTAAAAAAGAACTTCATATCCACACTCTTAAAAAACAGAGGTCATCATTCAAAACTATAAAGCTCACTTACTCATGAGTAACTTGCTATTCCAGAATGTATTTTTAATCATTTTTAAGCATAAATAAGTAAACTCTTTAAAAGTATGGCTGATTGATCACTGGAGAAAAATGTAATAAAATATTCAACATGATAGAAGTATGACTTGAGAAAATTAAAGTTATTCTAAAATGAAAAGAAAAGAAAAACTTAATTTTACTCAATTTTATATTCATAGTTGCCATTACAGTATTATCTCCCAGCTACTCATTAACCTTCTTTTTCTTTCCCTGGACCGACACTGACTCCATCCATGCACCACCGATAACCTCAGGACATCCTCTTATGCACAAAGGAGAGTAATTTGCAATTAACAATTTAATTAAGTTAGATGAAGCTTTCCTTCTGTGTTTTGAGTAAAGGTAAGATCTGCTGGTAAGTACATCAATCTTCTTTCTTGCAGCACTTTTCTCCTTTCATCCACACTATATAGTTAATCTTTTCCTGGCATTGTAAAAACATGTCATTCATAGTCACCATAAATATTCAGCTCATATATATCACTACCAAAGCACTTCATAATAGTAATAATGACTAATTTCTCAGGGGTGCTTACTATGTGTAACACAATGACCTAAGTTCTTGTCATATGTTAAAACCCAATCTTCAGAACTCTATGAAATAGGAATTACCCCCATATTATAAATGAAAAAACTGAGTCAAGGAGAATCTGGGAGGTGCCCAGGGCTAAGGACTGGTAAAGGTGGTGTAAGATGTTATCAGTCACAAACAGGAGGGGACCATATATCCCAAGTCAGATGTCTCAGGAACCAAACTATAAAAGAACTTGTACCCATCATAGATGTTTACCTTCCTCGACCACACTTGGACCCATCTGAAGGCATTAACAGGAGAGATTAAAATCTACAAAGCATGATCTAAAGCATAGCTCCACAACTAAGCAGGGGAATATACAGAAAACACAGCCAGGGCTTCTGGTAAACTCCTGAGCAATTTTCATAGGGAAAAGCAAGGCCTGGCATGACTGGGTAGGTACCCTGATATGAGAGCCTAAATCAAAGGGCCACAATCCAGTCAACTTGGGCAGACCCACTCCATCCACCTCCTACCTCAAACTCATCACTGGTTTATCTTCGTATCTTGATTCCCCAAGCAGTCTTCTCAACCAGAAAAGTATTTGTTCACTATAATCCTCTAAACAGATTGACACAAATCTATCTTCTCTAAGTTTGAACAACAAAAGTCAGTCTTCTGAAGGCCTCAGTAATCTCCAGGACAAATTCATCCTCAAAGTTCCAGTCCCTCAATATAGAGTAAAACAAGTATAGCGACCTTGAGAGCCTCCCCACTGAATTCCTCAATGTCTTCAGTTAACTGGAGACCAACTTTTTTTTTTTTTTTTTAAGATTTTATTTATTTATTTGACAGAGAGAGACACAGCGAGAGAGGGAACACAAGCAGGGGGAGGGGGAGAGGGAGAAGCAGGCTTCCCGTGGAGCAGGGAGCCCGATGCGGGGCTCGATCCCAGGACCCTGAGATCACGACCTGAGCCGAAGGCAGTCGCTTAACCGACTGAGCCACCCAGGCGCCCAACTGGAGACCAACTTAATAATCACACTGGACAAGACACACTTCACACAGCATGGCTTCAGGATACAAATCTAATTGATAGGTTTATGAGGAAACATCCCCTTCTTCTTTAGACACTTCTAGATAGCTATAATTTTTTGTTTCCTAAACAAGAGAACATGCATTACTTTTGGAGAAGGGGAGTTAACTTCAGGAATTTTCCTATTAAACATAAGAAAATTTGGGTATCCAAACACCAATAACTTTTATATTCATGAATCTCACAAAAAGGGGTGGGGAAGAGGGATTCAATCAACTTTTATGTTATTCAGAGATGTCCCCAGTGAAAACAACCCAACAATATATCACAGGTTTCTTCATAACTTTGTTAATACAGTTGGGAAACACTGGTCATATAATTGATGATTAACTAACTCAACACTCATGTCATTTAAGAATAATGAACATAAACTCACAAATATTTTAAATAAAACAGAAAAGAAATACCTCGAGTTCCACCAGAGCTGCAGTCACTGCATCTGTCGCAAGAGCACCAGCCTGTAGCTTTTCAATTGCCTATGAAACCAAGGGGAGACATTATGCATTGTAAAACCACAACTTCCCAAACATACCCAAAAACTTTCCAAAGCCTTAAAGAAGTGTAGGAGACATTTAGAGTTAGTAAAAATTAATCACTAGCTCCATTCCATACTTCAAGACATAACCTACTTAGATTTAAAACAAGCAAGGGTTTATATTCAGGATAATTTATGATATAGTTCACTTATCATTCAAATTAAGAAAATGAATAAAATCTAGCCACTAAATGCAAAGTGCAGGCGATTTAGTAAGTGAAAGGGCTTCATTCATCACAGGGCAATTCAAAATAGCCATAGACATTATGTGAATTCAGTTTGGTTTAAATATCCTGATAATTCAAAGGAGGGTGCTTGTTGTATAAGCACCAGGTGTTGTATGTAAGTGATGAATCACTAAATTCTACACGTGAAACTAATATGGCACTGTATGTTAACTGGAATTTAAATATTTAGAGAAAGAAAAATAAATAAATATCCTCATAATTCATATTTTATATACATAACTGAATCTCAGACTAAGCTAATAACATCTTCTCCCACTGCTACTACTCTCCACACCCCTAACTATAAAAAACAGTGACTCTCAATCACAGAAATATTTCAAAATCTTTAGATGAACACATACATGTGACTAAAACATTTTTGGTACTACAGTGGTTCCCCCTTATCCACAATTTCAATTACACCCAGTTAACTGCGGTCCAGAAGTAGATGATCCTCTTTCTGACATAATATCAGGTTAACAGTAGCCTAGCACTATGCCCCAATGCCTGTGTCATTCACTCACTTCATCCCACCAGGGAGGCATTTTATCACTTCACATCATCCCAAGAAGAAGAAGAGGTGAGTACTGTACAATAAGATATTTTCACAGAGAAAGGGACCACAAACACACCACTTTTATACATACACAGTACAACTGTTTTATTTTATTATTAGTTACTGTTGTTAATCTTTTACTGTGCCTAATTTATAAGGTAGACTTTATCATAGGTATGTATATATAGGAAAAAACATGGTACATATAGGGTTCGGTACAATATGCAGTTTCAGGCATCCACTGGGGGTCTTAGAACATATCCCCCATGGGTAACGGCAGACTACTGTATGATATATCGAGATAAACAAATCATATTCTTTTGTAATATAAACTATAGAAAGTAAAGGCCCATAAAATCACCTTAACTTCTGGAGTATAAAGGAAAGAGAGAGAAGGAAAACTGATTTCTCCATGAACTATTAAAGCTCCAATTTAGTCAACAGAGAAAATGCTCAAAAGCTAAGAGTGGTATTCCTCATTAAACTTTTAAGTTCATTCACTGTGTAAATTGAGGGGGCTGATTATACATTCCAAACGTATTAGGATTCTAGGACTATAGTTATAGAAAACATCTTTTTTCAGATGATGAAAACACCTCAAACTTTGAAAATTAAGATAAAAAATATGAAATAGTTTAGAGAACTTTTAGCTTTATTCTAAATTTCAAAAACAAAAAAATCCCTATAACAAAATATTCTTATTTATTTATGTGATTTCATTCGTAAGAAAAAGCTTAGATCTCTAATAAAGTATAATCTTTCTTTTAAATGGTATTTAAATGAAAAGACTGGAAGAGACCCATATTTACTCAGTATATAATATCCATTAACATTATATTTGCATAAAAAGTAATGGAAGCTTTGCCAAAAAGAGTATATAGTCGAGATCAAAATAAAAACAAACAATATTTCTTCTGAGTCCATTCCTGCCTCCACATTGAGTTTTCAACAATTTAGCAAAACCTCAAAAACCAAAGAGAAAAAAAGCACAACTGAGAACAAGGGCAAAGCTAAACTCAGGAATGACAATGAATTTGCTATGATACAAACTACTAATGAAAAACAGAAGGAAAAAGGACAGGATAATCTCCCCAAGAAAAGCAGCCATTTTAATTTTTTATTATTTATTTTCTTCTCTTCGTAGAAAGACACATTGGCTGCCTTTTAACTGTTTTCCCTACTCCTTCAATGGAGCTCAATGCCTTTACAAAGATTAAAAGATATATGATTAGGTGCCCACAATTCCAAAAATACAGACTTTAATCTGGGAAAGGAAGGGCAAAATCTAAGCATCATTTGGAGAATAAAAAACACAAAACAAAACAAAACAGAGACCCCACAAATATGAGCATAATAATTTCATGGTCCAAACTAAAGACTACCTTAGAAGTCAAACCTTAAAATTTTGAATTTCAAGGTAAAGCTGCCTGCTGGCCAAAACAAATGTTTCCATCAGACACACTCTGTTCATACCTTCTGACAAGCTCGTTTGCATACATGTTTATATTCCTTGGCTTTGGATTCGGAATGATAACCTGCACCTGTAGTGGAAAAAAACAACCAGTTGTTAGTTATCATTAAAATATCAGAGATCTTACTTAGATTATATAAATAGGTCATACAAACTGATGCTCTCCTGGTGACAATAAAGCTATTGTCCTATATGTATGGAGTTTTCAAATTCTAATAGCTTCCTTCTCTACCATAAGTCTTTTTAATGCCATGTCTTACCTCCTTTTTCAAAGGCTATTTTCCTGCCAGAGGCACTAGAAATAGCTCATATTCCCTAACAAGCTCCATCAAGACCATCTTCTTTTGAAAACCTCTCTCCAAAGTCAGGAGTTTTTTTGGTCTAGAGTTGATAACCCAGGAGGTGTCAAGGACAGAGTCCCTTCATGTTCCTTTCTGTTGACCTTCAGAAAGCCCCTGCCATTTGGCAAATTACTGTTCAGAATCCTGAATTCTTAAGAGTAACTTCGGAAAACTATGTAGTTTCTAAATAACATTTGAGGTTGAGGAGTATTACATCCCACCTCTCCACAACCACCAAATACCACCGCTCCCATGCACACTTTTTACATCCTGTCACTGTCGTAATATAACTCATGGTGTCTCTGAAACCTCAGTGACAGCATATTGTAGTCTGCCTATTAGAAATCCCAGTGGTACCCATCACTTAAACACCCAGCAACTTCCTCAAGAGAATCGCTCTGAAATTTGTTTCCCTAAGAGGATTAATACTTGCTTAGTTAGGGATTTGAGAATAATCTAAATAAGAAAGAAACCAAGACAAGGGTCCTTAAAGTGTCTTATTGATTAGGCTTCTAAACAAAGTTCTTTAACTGAGCTCTGAATCACCCCCTCATCCAGCCACTAAGTTCCCATAGGGGTCTAACAGAAGGAAGGTTAAGAACTGCATTTCTAAGCCTCAGGGCTCCTCAAGTGGGTCTACAGACTCTGACACAAACTTACCCCAACTTTCCTCAGACCAGAGAAAGAAATGGCTCATGAATCTATCAATCAGGGACCCAGGAGAGCAGAAAATATGCCAAACCAATAGGAATCCATAATCACCCCAATTCTAATCCTATTTCTCAGGAGAACTCTGAACCTTCATAGAGCTTGAACCAATATTTAACAGGCCTCTCTTCATCGTTCTCTAACACGTCTGTCACCTTAGATCTGGGGGCCCCAATCTTTCAGCAGTATTTCCCAAATCATGGGACACTACTGCAAAATATATAACTTTAGTGTATGGATGACAGTTTTAATAGGATTTAACATATAAATCCTTCTGTTTTGAATAAGGGAAAAGTCTCAGCATGGCCACAGTACATCTTTCATATCTGGTTAACACTTCGTAATTTATCTAACAAAGGAAAGGTAGCCTCAGAATCTAAGCCACTGACATACAACAGGATTCAGCTAAGATTTAATTACACTGTTTTGGTTGCACTGTGTTTAAAGTTATTTTCTCCTCATGCAAGTGATACTGACATTTCATTTAAGGTAAGTTTCATCTTTCAAGTTTTAAGTAAAAAGTGTTCAGCTTTTTAATATTAGGTAAATAGTATAAGTAGTATACAGATCAAGGAAAAATCAAGAATCTAAGATTCAAATGACTAACATTTGGGCAAGTCTCCTCTAGTTAAAAAAAAAAAAGTTTAAAATCTCTACAATGGATAAGGAACTGAAATTTTGTCCCTTAAATGTGCCAGATATATATTTCTGCATAATCAGTCTATCTGACCTTCTAATAACTTAGGAGAGGGTCACCTTAACCCACATAATTTTCTGCCATGACCCAGATTTTGTCCTATTACTGCTGGCCCCCAGCAGCAACTTCATCTAAGAGCCATTCCCATCTAGTGAGTGTCTGAAAGAAGAGGGATCCCATCATGATAGTCATAGAAAGCAATGCTTTCCAACTAATCAAAAGCTCTATGTTGTTGCATGTTACAAATTTGGAACCTTTCTTGTACATTTGTCACACACTCGTTCTGAATGAAATAACTCACTGGGTACCATGAAAGATGCACCAACATGGTGTAGTAGAAGGCAGGCGTTCTGGTTCCAAGTCTAAATCTAACTGGGTTATTTCTAAAATTTACCTCATTTCTTTGCAAAATCTTTTGAAAGAAAAGCAAATTGAACCTGGGTTTTCCGATTCTCCTGGATTAGATTCTGTAAGACTTCCCAAGTTATCTAGTCCAGATATAGCCAAAGGTTAATGATCAGGCACAACACCAGTTTGACAAGAAGAAACAATTCTACTCCTTACCCCACAGGAAAGTTAATCTTGATTCCACCCTGCTTGCCTATCTGAGGAAAGTTAAAAGGAGATCCAGCCATTCCTTCTCCCTTCACAGAAGTCATGAATTTTAGATAAATACAAGCAAATAAAAATGACTTAGGGCGCCTGGGTGGCTCAGTTGGTTAAGCGACTGCCTTCGGCTCAGGTCATGATCCTGGAGTCCCTGGATCGAGTCCCACATCGGGCTCCCTGCTCGGCAGGGAGTCTGCTTCTCCCTCTGACCCTCCCCCCTCTCATGTGTTCTCTCTCATTCTCTCTCTCTCAAATAAATGAATAAAATCTTAAAAAAAAAAAAAAGACTTAAAAAAGGAAAAAAAGCCTGCTGGGCAGACCTGAGCAGAGCTGCACTACTCTGAAACACAAACTCTTCAATGATCAGGGACCCAGGGGTTGAACTTCACTGCATCTGTTCTCCAGGTCCTCTGTATTGTCAAAAGCACTACACTGGGACTATGGGCCCACTTACGGGTGTCTCAACCTGGCTGTAGCACAAACTAGCCATGGGGCTAAAGCTACTTAATCTCTCTTCCTCACTTGTAACATTAAGAAGGCAAATTAGTTCTATGGCTGTGTAATTATATGCTAAAATGGCCATAGTTGGGGCGCCTGGGTGGCTCAGTCAGTTAAGCACCCAACTCTTGATTTTAGCTGTGATCATGACCTCAGGGTCGTGGGATGGAGCTCTACATTGGGCTCCGTGCTCAGCATGGAGTATGCTTGAGATTCTCTCCCTCCCCCTCCCTCCTCTTCTGCTCTTCCCCCCACTCGGAACTCTGTCTCTCTCTGAAAATAAATAAATAAAATCTTTTAAAAATAAATAAATTAACTAATTAATTAAATAGCCATAGTCAAACATGGGGTCAATAAAATTTTTCAGCAGCATCGTTTTTAAAAACACAAACCAGAGTTTAAGAAATTACTTTGTCTGATTTTAACACTACCTAACTGCATGTATTATATGGGGTAAAAGTAAATAATGGGAGTAGAGAAGTGAAGAAGACATAGGAAGAGCTGTCATTATAAGATCTTCCAAGCAGGAAGTAGGAGAGACCTATATTGAAGTCAATCTCTTTGGTTCCAACTCCTCTCTGGCAGTTTGCCTCCCCCAGATGTGAAATTCAATTCTCAGTGTCCTTCAAGGCAAGAAAAAAAAAATCAGAATTATTTTCATCTTCCAACTCGCCCACTGAAAGCTTACCTGCATGTACCAACACAAAGCCCCCTCGCTTCTCCTTATGGGACTGCTTTGTTTCCAACTCTTTGACTGTTATTTTAACAGCCGAAACCTGAGATGATCTGGAAGGCAGCCCTTCTCCAGAACTCATCCCCTTCTCCATGGTCATTCTCCGAGATTACCATCTTCTATTGGGAAAAGAGCATACTTCCATCCAAAAGTAACTGCAGGAGAGGAATTGCCCTAAAGAAAAACGGCAAAGATGGTATATATTTCTTGCACTAACACACATAACTTATACAAATTTGTGCAAAGATAACTTTCCAAAAACCTAATTTTAAAGTTATTTAACCGAGTAATACAAAGAATACGAAAAGGTTAGAACTGAAATCTCTGTCCACACAGTACTTGCTTAAAATCATATAAACAAAAGAACTATTGTAAAAAGACTTCATCCTGAGTCCAAAGATATTCTATCTTTCATTGTATTTACACTGAAGAAAACCTCAATATAACTTCAATATCGCTTTCTACTCCCTTTAATCCAAATGCTAATAATCTCTGGGACATTCTAGAATCACAGGTGATGCTGATAATATCACCAAGCCTTGATGTAAAGCTGAGATTGCAGCTTACTTTTTTCCCCCAGCTTTATTGTGATATAATGAACATACAACATTATGTAAGTTTAAGGTATTCAAAACGATTGACACACACACACCATAAAATGATTATCACAGTAAGACACCGAGATTCACACTGGTAGGTAAAATCTAGACCTTATTCTAAACTGAGAAGTAGGGAGGGACGCAAGTCTTTCTTTGCCAATATAAAACATAAATAGTCACATAAAAAGTGACTTAGCTGCCTAATTCAAAAAAGTGGTGTTACTCAAAGTGTGGTCTGCAGACCAGGGCTTGTTACCAGTCTGCAAGAGACTTATTTTATTAATATATTAATTGCTTTCTATACACATTTTCAACAATGTGTATACTTCTTATAATTTTTTCTATTTCCTTTTTTTAATTATATTTTTGAAGCAACTCTACCTATTAAATGTAATAAAATTGAGCTTTTATTTTTATCTTGCTTATTCTTTTTTTATTTAAATTCAATTAATTAACATATAATGTATTATTTGTTCCAGGGGTACTGGTCTGTGATTCATCAGTCTTATATAATACCCAGTGCTCATTACAACATATACCCTCCCCCGTATCCATCACCTCTCAACCCCATCCCCCGACCCTCCCTCTCCTCCAGCAACCCTCAGTTTGTTTCCTAAGATTAAGAGTCTCTGATGGTTTGTCTCCCTCTCTGGTTTCGTCTTGTTTCATTTTTTTCTTCTCTTCCCCTATGATCTTCTGCCTTGTTTCTTAAATTCCACATATGAGTGAGATCATATGAGAATTGTCTTTCTCTATTTCACTTAGCATAATACCCTCTAGTTCCATCCACATCATTGCAAATAACAAGATTTCAAATTTTTGATGGCTGCATAATATTCCATTATTTTTATCTTTCATATTTCAGTTTTGTTTGGAGCTTGTTTTGGGGGGTTTAGTTTTGGTTCTTTTGCATTTTGTAAAACAGTCAACAATGGATTGAAAATTTTTTAAAGTTGGTCCTTTACACCAGAGATGGTCTGAGAAGCACTGCAATATGGCATTTTAACTTTTTTTAATTCTTGGTTAAAAAGAGTCCATTGAATTTTTATTATATAACACTTCATTTAAAGGACAAATAATTTTAAATCAAAATATATATATGCTCTTGTATTAAAATGTTAACATATATTCACAAATGCAGGAAGAAACTTTTGATTACAAAAGAGTGCTGATGTTGATTAAATAAAAGTGAACTGAAATACCTGCTTTTGTTTTTGTTTTGTGGTGGCAGCTGTCTTTCTAAGAATGGATCTTCTTCTAATGACTTCACAAGGATCTGCCTCAATTACTTTTATTTGACTTTTGGCTATTTGGTTATTTCTCTTTGGTTATTTGACTTTGAATACTATGTATTCATGTGTCATTGACGAAGGGGAATTGAAATGATTAGCAGTCCATCTGCCAGCCTATACATGCCATCACATCTGACCAAGCCATGAAATCAGCTTGGGCCCACTAGTCCCACAAACATAGGTTGAATGAAAACTCAGGCCTTGGAAAATTAAGAGTTTCAGTTAAAATGAAAAAATATCCAAGCATTATGGGTTATTAAACTTCAAGCTACTGACTCATTGTTATCAGATACATTTTTTCATAAATAAGAAACTGAAACATCTATATTTTACAATGAATAAGGTTGATGTAATAGGCATGTTCATGGATATGAGAGATTTAAAAACACTGCTTCCAGGCTTGTCTGAAAAAAAAAATGTGCAAGATAAATTAATATGCTATTTCTTGAGCAATCTACCATCCCTCAGAGACTATCTGAAATATATTTATTTAGAATATCATGTCATCTCCATAAACTCCTCCAAAAATGTTGACCCCCAAAGTTCTGCAGGACTGGGAAAGAAATTTAAATAGACAGGCTATGCAATGTACAACTCTGGCCTCAACTCCCAGTGGTTAGTGGAATGTTTCGATTTCAATTAGAAATGAAGCAACTTCTACTCCAACATTAGTTTTTGTTTAAACCCATTAAAGGTCTGACCTACCAATAAATAAAGAGTTCCAACAAATGACTAAAAATAAGACAACAAAGGGCAAATGGGCAAATCCCAGTTAACAGAAAAATTGTATAACAGTTTAAATAGATCAAAAGATGCTAAACCTCACTCAAAAGAAAGATACAAAATAAAACTACACCCAAATGCCATTTTTTAACTTGGGTTGACCAACATCAAAATGACACCACGTTTTGAGGCTAATGAGAAACAGGAGTTCTCATACACTGTTAATAGCAGCATAAGATGACAAAACTCAAAAAGGACAATCTGGCAAAATCAATCAAAATTACAAATGCACACTGAAGGATTATTTGTAATAGTAAAGATATGAACCAACAATATGTCTTGATGTAAGTGGTTAAAATAAAAGCAGCCACTGGAAAAAATGAGAATATTCTTGATATACATATATAAATTGACTAACCTTACAGATATATAAGTAAAAAAGGCACAGTACAGAAATACATGCAATGCCATATTTTGAGGGAGGGGAGAAAAAAATAATACAGCTAAGTATATATGCAAAGTACAAATCTGGAAGAATACGCCCAAAAATAATAGTGGTCACCCAAAGAAGATTTGAATGACTGATGGACAAAAGTGGAATGGAAATTTTATGGTTCATTGTTTATACTTTTCAATATTGAAAAATCTAAACGTATTACTTTCCAAAAAAACTTTTTTTATTCATTTATTTATTTATGGAAACATGAAGTAACTAGCTAAATCCAAGTTCCAAAATAGAGCAAGCCTATGAGATCTCACTTAAAAACTTCAGTAAGAGGGAAAATACCATATGCTGAAGGTTCTCAACACTCATGCCACCTAGGGCAGGAATGGACAAATACACAGCCAACCAACAATACTGGCCCAAAAAGTTTTTGTTTTGTTTTTCTGTTTTTGCTTTTGTTTTTCTGGATCTTGAATTTCTGAGGCCACACGAACTACAGGTAATTCAAATTAAAAAAAAAAAATCATAGTATTTGATCTCTACAGTTCAGACTAAGGAGTAAAAAATAAATCATTACTGTAGATTAACATCAAATATCCCTAGGATTATTTTTTATCAAATTTGTACTCACTTCATTATTACAAATCATTATTTGAAATTGATGAAGCATACTTACATCAACATACTGATCTGCAAGAAAAATGTCTAACATTTCAGCTAAGCTTTGAGGTAACATTCAACACACAAGGTTTCCAATGAAAGGAAATGTATAAGCATGTTATAGTTTTTACATAACAGAAAACAATTGTATAGCTCATTTTTTATAATGCCTTTATTTCTGAATAATATACTTGAAAATGGACATATTGCAATTTACTACTAGTGATGATATTAAAATTCATTTTATTGTTTCTAAAACACTGGCAACTTGTCCATCCTCTGCAAACCTGCATCAAAAATTAAACATAGAGTTAGCATATGACCCAGTAATTTCACTCGTAGGTATATACACCCAAGAGAACTAAAAACATGTCCACACAAAAAAATTGTACATGGATGTTTATGGCAGAATTATTCATAATAGTCAAAAAGTGCTAACAACTCAAATGTCCATGAACCGATAATGGTTAAACAAAATGTGGTATATTCATACAACGGAACATTAACTAGCCATAAAAAAAAAATAATAATAATAATTAAGTACTGATACATACTATGGCATGAATGAACCCTGAAAACAGTGAAAGAAGTCAGACATAAAAGGCCACATACTATATGTTTCCATTTATGTGAAATATCCAGAGTAGGCAAATCTAAAGAGACAGAATGTAGATCAATTGTTGCCTTGGGCTGGGAAGCTAAAGGGGAATTGGAGAGTGACTGCTAATGGGGGCAGGCTTTCTTTTGGTGGCAATAAAAATGTCCTAAAATTGGTTGTGTGATGGTTGCACAATTCTGAATATACTAAATACCACTTAAAGTACACTTTAAGTGGATAAATTAATAAATTAATAAAGCTGTTTGGAAAAAAACAAATTTCCTGCTTCCCATAAACTGTATCTTTTCCCATAAGTATATCTTTTCCAAGTTACCAAACCTAATGACCTTTTCTTACTCTGCTGCTTGCAATCTTTGTTATCTAGATCCCCCATCCTCTTGGCAAGTATGCCAATCTACCATCCCAGTTCTTTATGACCCCCCTGATCCTTCTCAACTTTGTCCTCTTACATGACTCCCCGTCCACAGGCCTATTCTCAGATGTCTCCTTCAGCAATTTCATCCACTGCCAACCTTTTAAAACAATCCTCTCTCAGTAAATCAGATTATTTGTAACTCTCTATCTTCTGTCTCTTGAGCTCTAGCCGCAAGTCTCCAGGATAGCTTAGCTCAACCTGGATCCTCTTCATTCTTTTTCTCTTTTTTTTTTTATTATGTTATGTTAATCACCATACATCATTAGTTTTTGATGCAGTGTTCCATGATTTATTGTTTGCGTATAACACCCAGTGCTCCATTCAGTCTGTGCCCTCTTTAATACCCATCACCAGGCTAACCCATCCCCCACCCCTCTCCCCTCTAGAAACCTCAGTTTGTTTATCCACCCAAAACAATCTCATTTTTCCACAGAAATCTAGTTCTTTCCACATCACTCCTTATTTTTAATAGCACTAATCCCTTTCTAACTCACCTGGAAGTCATCTTGGACTGGACGCACTTTCCAAATCTTATAAATTTCTCCCTCAAGCATTTAACTTCCTTTTCCCTACTGCCTCGACCCTTGTTCAGTTCACATACCGCTTAGCATGTTACAAAAAGCATTTTAACTTTGCTCCCCAAATCCAGACTGTTGTAAAACAACCAACTACAAAAAGCTGCCAAAATAAATCTCATAAAGGACAACTCCAATCAAAATGAACAGCATGCCAAAAGACATGAGCAGACAATACACGCAAGAGGAAATATAAACTGGATATCCAATATCAAGGAAAGAATATTCAAAGAAATATAAACAAAAATGGAATCTTCCTAACTAGCCCTGTATTGCCACCATAAACTGATATAAGTAACCATTTTGAAAATGAATTTGTCAGGAAGTATCAAAATCCTTAAAATGTTTAATTTTGTATATACTATCTTTCCAGAGATAATCTATGTATGAACTAGTCCATACAAACACAAGTAACAATAGTACCATGGATACCCCTAAGGAGAACTGGGAGAATGAGGGGCAAAATGAAAAGGAAACGTAAAATAAAAAAAAAAAGAAAAGAAAAGGAAACCTAATAGCCTTTTGCATTTGATTTTTTTTTTTTTTTAACCAGGTACTATCTACTAAACACAGATTTAAGTTAGCCATCTCTGAGACTAAGATGAATGCAAATTAACCTGATTATCAAGGTCAGAAGAGAAACTAAGAATAAAACATCATTTTTGCTCCAGGGACTTTCAAGGCACTGATTTAAGGTCTAAATTTCAACCCCAGTTCTCTCAAAGACTTATTTTCCTACTGCATGTAATGACACTTTTTTTTCTTTATACCATTTAGAAAATTATGACATGTCCTGTTTGCCCCTGGTGTTGGAAGTTTTTCACTCTAGATTTACTTAGTCTCTTAGAAGCAGTCAAAGAATAGTAAGTCAGGGAATCCATCCATCTTACAGCAAAAGGCTTTTATAGAAATCCAGCCCTTAAGCTATAGCAACTGATGAATAAAGAAGCATTCTGTTGCTCTTAACATCTTGACATTGAAGGTTCAATGCCTCATTCAATGAGCTCCAAAACACACTCATTTCATCTTTGACCCAGTAATTTCACTTCTGAGAACACTTTCTACCAAAATAACTTCAAAAACAGAAAAGCCTTATGCCTGTTATGCTGTGTTTAACACAGGATAATTTAGAAAAACAAAAATCTGGAAGTGACCTAAATGCCCAACGTAGAGAAATGGTTAAAAAAATGATAACCTATATTATTTATGGTCAACTCGTTTTCAACAAGGGTGCCAAGACCATTAAACAGGGAAAGGATAGGGGCGCAAGGGTGGCTCAGTCGGTTAGGCGTCCAACTCTTGATTTTGGCTCAGGTCATGATCTCAGAGTTGTGAGATCAAGCTCCACATCAGGCTCCTCACTGGGTGTGGAGCCTGTTTAAGATTCTCTCTCTCCCTTTTCCTCTGCCCCCCTTAAAAAAAAAAAAATTAAATAGGGAAAGGATAGTCTTTTCAAAAAATGGTGCTGGAAAAAAAGATAGGCACATACAAGGAATGAACCTGGATTCCTACCTATTCCTACCTACCTATTCCTTGATCCACATAGATCAAGAACTAAATGTAAGAGCTAAAACTGTAAAACTCTTAGGAAAAGATATAGTAGTAAATTTTCATCATTTTGGACTTGGCAATTGTTTTAGATATGATACCAAAAGCACAACCAATCAAAGAAAATATAAATTAGAATTCATCAAAAGTTTAAATGTGTGTACTTAAAAGAACACTATTCAAAAAAGTATAAAGAAACCCCACAAAATGAGAGAAAATGGAAAAAACACCGCAAACAGTACATGTGATAAGGGACTTGGATCCAGACTATATAAAGAACTCATACAATATCAAAGTTTTTAAAAATTCAATATAAAAATGAGCAAAGGAATTGGATTGACATTTCTCCAAAGATACACAAAGGGCTGATAAGCATAGGAAAAGATGCTCAACATTACCATCCAACAGGGAAATGGAAATCAAAACCACCTGAGGTACCAACATCACAGCTATAACTCAAAAGACAGATAATAAGTTTAACAAGGATATGGAGAAATCAGAACTCTCATATCCTGCTGGTGCAGGCCACTCTCGAAAACATCTAGCGGTTCCTCAAAAAGCTAAACAGTTACCATATGACCCAGCAATTCCACTCCTAGATATATATCTAAGAGAAATGTAAACATATCCACACAAAAACCTGTACATGGATGTTTACAGCAGAATTATTCATAATAGTAAAAAAGATTAAACAACTCAAATGTCCATTAACTGATGATGGATAAACAAAATGTGGCATATTCCTATAATGGAATATTATTCAGCCATAAAAAGGAATGAAGTACTGATACAAAATACAACAAGGATGAACCTTAAAAACATGCTAAGTAAAAGAAGGCAGACACAAAAGGCCACATATTCTATAATTCCATTTACCAGAAACGTTCAGAATAGGAATATCTACAGACACAGAAGTAGATTAGTGGCTGCTAGGGACTGGGGGAACAAGGGGAGGGGAGTATCTAATTAGTGGTTGCCAAGGACTGGGGGATCAAATGGGAAGTGACTATGAGTACAGTTTCCTTTGGAGATGACAAAAATGTTCTGGAATTAGCGGTGATAGGTGCCCAACTTTATGAATATAGTAAAAACTACTGAAATTTACAATTTAAAAGGGTGGGTTTATGGTATGTGAATTATATCTTAATAAAAGATCAATCTATGCAATGGATGCCATGTACAAAAATTATACTTTTTGGTTATAATCATATTTTACACACACTATGATCATAAATAGGTTAAAAATGCTATAAAATTAGAAAGAAAGGGATCAAAATGCTGGGTTGGTGAAATTCCAGGTGATCTCTTTTTAATTATTCCTGCATTTTCCAGATATTCATTAATAAGCACGCACTGCGTTTTACAAACGGGGGGGAGCTTTATTTAAAACAAACAAAAAAGGAAATTACTCAACTCCCGAGTGCATAAAAATTCCTTAGCTTAGTATTCAAGGATCTCAGTCACATGGTCCCGAAAATACCTTTTCATTTCCCCTCCCCTACAGAGGCGAGTCAAGTTACTCCCTCCTTCCGGAAACACGATGCCCTCTATTTCCAGGGCACCTCCAGCTCCTGTTTTCCACCCTCCTCTCCAGCTGCTCCTTCTCCATCTTCTTGGTCCTTTCCTCCTCCGCCTCCTGAGCAGTAAATGCTAATGTCCTGAGAGACTCTAACCAGGCCGCTAGCTATAACACCACGGGGCTGCTTTGACCCCAGCCGGCCACGCAGGACTAGGGTGCACACCCTCGGGGCTCTGCGAGCCTCCGACTCGTAGAACCCCGCAGCCCGCGACTGCGAAGTGAGTGAAGGACAGCGAGGACTGCCCGCACACAGACAGTCCCTTCCCCGGAGAGGGAATGAGACTGCCAAGCTGGAGCCAAGGCTTCGGGGACCCGCACGGGCGCCACGCGCGACCGAGGGGTCGAGGGACGTCCCGGATCCGCTCCTTCAGCACCGCCCCAGGCAGTGGGCATCCTGCGCGCCGCCCCCTCCCGGCCCCGAAGAGGATGTCCCAGCGAGCGTATGGGCCTGGACAGAGGAAGCGCCGCAGCGCCGGCAGCGGCGCGGACAGCGTGAGAAAGAGGGACACTCACCCGCGTCAGCCCCGAGCCCTCACAGCGCCGGAAGTAGTCACCCGCCCGTTGCCAGGGTGAGGAAGCGGGGCTGACGTCAAGCTTTCCCATTGGGCATGCGCGTAGCCACGTGGCCGGAAGCATACGCCTACGCGGGGCTCTGACTCTGCCCACTGCTTCCGAATTCACCTGGCCGCTGAAGTTGCACGAAAACTTTACCTGGAGCCTCATTCTGAGCTGCGCAGGCGCCGTTGCTAGTCTGTTCTCACGCAGACTCTTAATGAGCCGGCCTGCTGTGACTGTACGGATCCACGTGGTTGGCAGACGAGCGTTATGATACGAAATGAAGTTAAAGTAGCCATGATTATTGAGGTGTCACTTCAGAGCTTAATTTTTTTCCATTCTTGCAGTCCCCCCGATACAGTAGGGAAAACTAGAGCTCTGCCGGGATTCCACGTAGGAGGTGGGAGCCAGACCTGCCCTTGGGAGAATCAAAGTGTGGGTGGCCTTTCTTTTACCATCTAGCTTCTAAGATCAAGACCAGTAACAATGTAATCCCTTTAATGTTTCCTTGTAACTATTAACATGAGACCTTTAACAAATAACCAGCTTTAAACCTGTTTTAGAAACAAGAGATTGAAAGAAGTAAAGTAGTAGCTCTTAAGTATGGTCCCCAGATCAGAAGCTTAACATGACCTGGGCCCTCACTAGAGGTATAATTTAGGAAAAGATGTTCCACCTTACCGGGGGGAAAAAAAAATTTATTTTAATTACAGATAAAAATAGACAGCAGTCCTCTTCGATCTGATTATATAACATTTTAAGACTGATACTATATCCTGTTAGAGAGGATTGAGAAAACATTCACTCTTGTTCATTGCTGGTGGAATAAAGATTTGCACAAATTTAGGGGGGACAATTTGATGGTCATCTACCGCAATTTTAAATGTGCTTCCCCTTTGACCCAGAAGATCCACTTTTAGGAGTCTGTCTATAATATTTCCATATGTGCACCAAGATATATATATACATATATATTCATGTAAAATATATTTATCAAATAATTTCTATGAGCTTGGCACAGCTCAAGGAAGTTTATTGAAGCATAGCTCATGTAGGAAAAAAGAAAAAAAAATTGGAAACGAATTATAAAAATGCAAGCGATATGATGCAACCATTTTTTAAATACTCAGATGAAAAGCTATCAAACACATGATTAAAAATCCAAAATAATATTCTACATCCCATTTATGTATGCATGTCTGTGTATTGTTATCTATATTTACATATATATATACATAGACAGTGTATGTGGAAAATGGTTAAAAGATTATGTATCAATGAAGCTACTAATAGAAATAAGATTGGATTGAGTTAGGGGTGAAATCACTTTTATTATTTATATCAATAATGACAGAACAGTTAAAAATGCTGGATAAAATACAGCAAGTAACCTTGTGCTCCGCTAAAAGGAAATCCCCAGAGACCAAAAACAATGGAGAATCCAGAGTAGGATGCCAGTGCTGAAGGCTCATCTCTACTGAGAGCACTTACATATAGCAGGAGCCTAAGGTTTGGGTTTTTAAGCCCATAAGGTAACAAGCAGATACACACAAAAAACCTTTAGTAAGAACAGAAATAGGAGAGAGTGAACTTTGATCTCATAGGCTTCTGGTTTTGAAGTCATCAGATAAAGAATATAAAGTAAATATTTCTTAAATGTTTTAAAAAATAAGTGGGGAGTAGAAAAAAATAAGTGAGGGAGTAGAAAACCAAGCAAAGATTAAGAAAATACCATAAATTATCTGATAGAATTGAAAAATAAATAAATAAAAGATCTAGAAATACAAAATTGTTCATTAAAAAAAAAACCACAGTAGATGAGTTAAACATTACTTAGACACAAGCTGAGAAAAAATTAAGCAAATTGGAAGGTAGGTATAAAGAAATTACCCAGAATGAGGATCAGAGAGACAAAGAGATGGAAAGTATGGATGAGAATGTAATAGATGTGGAAGATAGAATGGTAGGGATAGAATGTCTAATATAAGTAACATTAGAATTCCAAGAACATAAAAAAAATGAACAAGGAAGAGGAAGTATTTTAAGGGATAATAGATATTATCCAGAACTGATGAAAAACAGAAACTCTCAGATTCAGGAAGCTCATGAATCTCAAGCTGGATAAATAAAAGAAATCTAAACCTAGACACATTATACTGAAATTTTAGAAGATCAAAGACAAAAATATTTTAAAAGCAAGCAGAGACAAAACACCTACAAAGAAATGATTAGGCTGAAAGGAGATGTCACAGTTTGACAATTGAAAATAGAAGATGAAAATGGTATCTTTGAATTCCTGAAAAAATATTTCCAAAGTACTGAAGAAATGTCAACCTAGAATTGTTTACCCAGCTAAACAAGCATTCAGGAATTAGAATGTACTGAGGATATTTTCAGATAAACCCAAACTGAGAAAATTTACCATGAACCAAAGTATTTATTAAGACTACAATGCAGGAGGAAGAAGGTAATTCCAGAAGAATTATTCAAGAAGAAATAGATGTTAACTTTAGGGACCCCAAGTTCTGAGCCTAAGATTCTCATGACAGGTTTACAGAGTTGTCTTTATTTCCACAGACTTAGTCTCTAATCCTCTGATATCTATACTATTTACTTTTTATGGTAAAGGATTTGACATATCACCAGTAAGCACAGAATGTTCTATATTTGTAATAGGTCATCTTACTGTTTTTGGTATATGACAGTGCAGCAGATTATTTTCCTGAAATGGCTGCAACACAACATTGTCCACCTCACATGCTCCTTTGAATGATGAGACTTTGATACTCCTCCCATCTAGAGGTGTATCTATCTATGTTCCCTACCCTTGAATCTGAGCCAACTTGTGAGTATAGCAGAAACCACACCAGGTGACTTCTAAGGAAGGTTGCAAGAGCACTGAAGGTTCTTTGCAATTCTCTCTTGCAATGCTTGCTTTTAAATCCCAGCCACCATGCTCTGGGGAAGCTTAAGCAGCCACATGGGAAAACCAAGTATAGATGTTGTGACCAACAACTCCAGATAAGGTCCCAGCTGCAGCCACCACCAACAGCCAGACATGTAATTGAATGGGCCTTCAGAAGATTCCAGTCCTCAGCCATGGATTAATTTCCAGCCTTTGAGTCTTCCCAGCTTAGCAATCATGAGCAGAAACAAGCCATCTCCACTTGCTCTTTCCAAATTTTGATCATAATAATGCAATAAAATGGCTTTTGTTTTACATCACTAGATTTACACTACTAGTAGTACTTGATCACAGGCTCCAACAACTGACCCACAGTTCACCAGCTCTTATACTGAGGGTATCATGCCATGGCCCTGACACTGAAAGCCTAAGGAAAGCTATCAGTGACTAGGAGGATAACCACATGGTTCTGGACAACTCCATTGCCTCCAGTTCACCCACCTTATCCTCACTAACTAGTCATCTCTCCTCTCTGTTTTGCACTCTCCCACCATAGGTAACCTGGAGTTTTTTTCTTTATTTTTCTACCAGTGACTTCTAGGGGTGGAAGGGAAAGGTTATTACATGGTAATAGTAAGAGTAAGCATTTATTACATGACAGTAGTAACTGGAACAGATTTTGTTACCTGGAAGTGGATAAATACCATAACAAAACATAACAAAAGAACATAACAAGAGTAAAACATGTGGCATTGGCTTTGAGACTATGTGAAGCAGCAAGGGTGGGAGAGGATCCTGAAGGAGAATGTCAGAAATCTAAAAGGTCTTGAGGAGGCTGCACCAAAGGCACAAAAGAAACTGAGGAAGATGTCGTTGAAAGCCAGAGAAAGGGGTCCCAATTACATACGACCAAAAAGTTCAGCCCAGGCTTTGGGGAGCAGATGCAAACCATCTCCAGGGTGCCCTGCTTAAATTCCTGACCCACAGAATCTATAAGCATAATAAAGTCGTTGTCCTTTTATGTCATTGGATGTGGAGTGGTTTTTTACACAGCAATATTAAATGGAACAGGTAGAAATAGAAGAAAAGATGTTTGGATTTTTAAAATGCATAGATAGCGCACTATGTTGTACATCTGAAACTAATGTAACATAGTGTGTCAACTATACTCAAATAAAAAATTATAAATAAGTAAATGAATGAATGAATTTAATTTAATTTAAATGCATAGATACGCTCCCTTCCATTTCTTGGGCAACACTGTTACCTGCTGTGTTCCCAGGATTTAGCTACGAATGACAATCACTCCCAATCCCGCTCTGCACACCTTTATCTTGGGCATCCAGCCCAGAAACCACTCTTGCCATCTCCTAGCAGTTTAAGTGGAAGTAACAAAATTCTGTCTAACCTGCCTTCAGAGTCAATTTTTCAAATTTCTTTTTTTTTTAAGATTTTATTTATTTCTTTATTTGACAGAGAGAGCGCACAGGTAGGGGGAGCAGCAGAGGGAGAGGGAGAAGTAGGATCCCCACTGAGCAGGGAGCCTGATGACGTGGGGCTCAATCCCAGGACCCTGTGGTCATGCCCTGAGCCAAAGGCAGATGCTTAACTGACTGTGTGTCACCCAAGTGTCCCTTTTCAAATTTCTAACCTGTGTCAGTGCAATTGCTCTCAGGTCTTTTGAAATATTAAGGATGACAGTTATCTAGCTAATCAATTCACTGAAACTGTTAAATATAAAAGAAAATCCTCTACTACTTTATCTCCTTCAAGAAAAATCTCCATCTCCCTGTTCCCCTTTTTCCAAACCCCAAGATAAAAACTAATTGAGGAAAAAGAGCAGGGGACATGCATGGATCGTAGGCTGGGAAAACAGTAGATGCTCAGTGTTCAGGATGCTTTGAGTGTAACTGTCACTCTTTTTATTTATTTATTTATTTATTTAAAGATTTTATTTATTTATTTGACAGAAGGAGACACAGCGAGAGAGGGAACACAAGCAGGGGGAGTGGGAGAGGGAGAAGCAGGCTTCCCGCTGAGCAGGGAGCCCAATGCGGGGCTCGATCCCAGGACCCTGGGATCATGACCTGAGCTGAAGGCAGACGCTTAACGACTGAGCCACCCAGGCA